ATGATGGCTTTGGTGGGGGACAGATGCTGCTGGGGTTGGGGAGCTGCTGTCCAGAAGGGGACACAGCTCTGGGGGGACACACCTTGGTGGCTCTGGGGGGACAGACCCTGTGGAGCTCAGAGCTGCTGCCACCAGGGGACACGGCTCAGGGGGGTGGAGGACACACCTTGGTGGCTTTAGGAGTGACAATGGTGGCTTTGGCAGGGGACAAACCCTGCTGGGGTTGAGGAGAGAGCTCTGTGGGGACAATGATGGCTTTGGTGGGGGACAGACGCTGCTGGGGTTGAGGAGATGCTGGCAGGAGGGACAAAGCTCTGTGAGCACAGACCTTGGTGGCTTTAGGAGGGACAATGGTGGCTTTGTTTGGGGACAAATGCTGCTGGGGTTGAGGAGATGCTGGCACGAGGCAACAGCTCTGGGCAGGGGGACTTTGGTGGCTTTAGGAGAGCCAAACCCCACTGGGGGTTGAGGAGCTGCTCTCCAGAAGGGGACACAGCTCTGGGGGACACACCTTGGTGGCTCTGGGGGGGACAAACCCCGCTGAGGGTTGAGGAGATGCTGGCAGGAAGGGACACAGCTCTGTGGGGACGTGCCTTGGTGGCTTTAGGAGAAACAATGGTGGCTTTGTTTGGGGACAAACCCTGCTGGGGTTGAGGAGATGCTGCCAGGAGGGGACACAGCTCTGGGTGGGGAGACTTTGGTGGCTCTGGGGGCCAGGGAGCTGAGCTGTGGCTGCCAGGAGCTCTGTCTCCAGCTCTTCCCAGGTCAAACCCCAGCAGTCTCTGCTTTTCTCGCTTTTCCCCCCCAATATATAAAAAATCAGCTCCATGCAGACACCTCCACAAGTTCTGTTTCCAGCAGCACCTTCCATCTTCCCTTCGCCGCTGCCCTTCCCAGTGCTGACCTTTGAGGAGTCTCTGGGACAGAGGTTCCTCAGCCCTGGGACACGTCTGGGAGATGTTTTTGGCCCCGTGCTCCTGCCGGGAGGGCACTTGGACAGCCTGGGGCAGAGGGACAGGTTGGGATGGTGGTGGAGCCATGCTGGGAACGGAGGGATGAGGCTGGGAAGGGCCATTCCCTTCATAGGCAGCATTAAAATCAGGACTCTGGTGGTCCTCCCAGTGGGGATATCCTGGCTCCATCCTCTGAAGGGGTGGGAATCTCGGTGCAATTTGATTTTGCCCCAGGTATTTGCTGTGTGTGCGGCGTGGAGGCAGCTCTGCCTGTTGTTCCAAGAAATATCCCTACATTCTCCAGCCTGAGCACTAAATTGGTGGCTTTCAGCAGTTCCCTAATTATGTGAGACATTTTTTGTACTTAACAAATGGTTCTGATTCCTGCCAGCACTTCAGCCTGGTGTTCCAGGCCCGTGGGTGTCGGGGAACAGAACATATTTCTGTGTCTGTGAATATGATCCCACACGTTGTCTTAAGTGGGAAAATGTTCGCAGCCCTTATATGGAGAGAGATTTTTTTTTGATTCTTTTTTTTCCCCCTCTAAATCCATCAGCGCTCGCTCCTGCAGCACGAAGGCAGTTTGATCCTCCCGGTGCTCTCCTGGCTGGATTGGGAAGCAGAAATACACAATGGGCTTCCTCCTGCTCCTGGCAGGAGCGGGGCTCTGCCCTCCAGCCCTGCAGGAGTTGGGTTTGGGGTGGGGGATGCTGTCCCCACCTGCGGGGGAAGGAACCTGGGGGCTGCAGGTGCTGCTCCTCCTGGGACTGTGCTCCCTCCTTACCCTGCCTGGGAGCTCCCACCCCAGCCTGGGCTGGCATCGCTGCAGCCAGGAGCTGTGGGGAAGCTGGGGATTGTGGAAAAACCTGGGAATTGTGGGGAAAGCTGGGAATTGTGTCACAGCAGAGTGACGGGGCCCTGCTGTGCCAGGGGGATGTGCTGTGCCACGCAGGGAAATCCGGGGAGCACAGCAGGGCTGGGAGCGCTCGGTGCTGTCCTGAGGGAGCTCTGGGGAGAGCCTGGGACAGACTCCTGGAGCAGAGCCTTGGGAGGAGCTCCTCGGGCTGATGGAGGGCTGGAATTGCCTTCCAACGGGTTTTGTCCAGGAATAGCCACGGCTGCACGAGGTGTTCCTGTTTGGGAGCATCAATCCCAAATCCTCTGGGCTTTGTGGTGCTCATGGAGGAGCAGGAGGGGAGTGAGGCCAGGCTGGAGTGGCCGTGGTCACTCAGGCTGTGGATGGGACCCTGCCCCAGGGCTGGGCACAGGGGCAGGATCAGCCCTGAGCTGCTGGGAATGCTCTTCCCAATCCAGGATCCACTGGGCACTGCTGGCCAGGGACATTTCATTGTCCCTCAGGATCCCACTGCTGGCCAGGACAGCTCCTTGTCCCAGGTCCCTGTCCAGGGACTCCTGCAGGTTGTGCCATTTTGGGAATGAGGTTCTGCATGAGCCTTGGGCACCAGCTCAGTGAGTGGACCCGTATTTGTAGGAATTTTCCTTGGGATGTAGAACAGGGCTTTCTGGGTTGGTTGATCTATGGCTGAAGGTGCTGCAGTGTTTTTCTCAGGATTCTTTTTCCTGCAGCAAAGCCACTTCTCAGGATTCCTGCAGAAATACCTCTGTGGAAAGAGGCCACACTGAAAACTGGGAGCCTGGGCACAGAAAGCCCTGAAAGCAGGGAATTCTGTGCATTTTCCAGGGCTGCCCTTGTCTCCACGTGCCAGCAAAAGGCACCCTTTGAACGGGATGTCATTGTCACTCTGCTGGATGAGCATTTCCAGTTGTGATGACAACCGAGTGAGGACTTGGAGGAGTGGAAAAGGGAGCTCCAGGAGCTGCCAGGCTCAGGCCTTTCCTCAGAGCTGCTATTTTGGGGGGACTGCTGCAGCAGCAGCAGGTGTGAGGCAGCGTGTCAGCCTGGATTTCATCCCTGCCCGAGACACCCTGGCCTCGGAGCGGTGCCTTTGGAGAAATCCATCCCCAAGGTCGCTTGTATCCATGGGAAGGGCTGGCAGCATCCACCCACAGAGCAGCTGCCTGCTTTGTGTCCTCCTTCGGTTTCTCTTTAGTCCAAGTGAGTTTGGGGGAAATACAAACCAGGGTGGGGGCAAGGAGGCAGGAGAGTGGCATTCCAGGGAATTCTGGAGTGCCCATCCCTGGAGGTGTCCAAGGAAGGGCTGGGGGTGACCCTCAGTGCCCGGGCTGGGGACAGGGTGGGGATTGGGCGCAGCTGGGACCTTGGAGGGCTTTTCCTCAGGAATTCTGGGATTCTCAGGATTTGCTGGAATCTCATGCACGGGGTCGGTGAAGCGGGAGACCCTGGTTGCTGTGAGCCCCCAGACGAAGCCGGGGCTGGGTAAATGAGAATTCGGGGCTGGGTTGGACCCTGCCTGGCCCCCTGTGCCCGTCCAGCCAGGGCCAGCCTCTCCTGCAGCTGCAGGCAGCAGCACAGGGGCCTGGAGCTGTGGGCAGGGAGAGTTGTGGTGCTGGGCACTCGTGTGCAGCTGTGAGCCACAATTCCAGTCACCATTTGTTTCCCAGGAATTCCCGGGCAGCTCGTCCCCATATCCAAACACATTTGCTTTTTCCTTGTCTAATTTAGTTCCTCTCTGCCCAGCATTTGTGACTGCATGCAGCAGATCTGACTCTGAGCTATCCCACAGCTTTTTCTTTTTCTTTTTCTTTTTCTTTTTCTTTTTCTTTTTCTTTTTCTTTTTCTTTTTCTTTTTCTTTTTCTTTTTCTTTTTCTTTTTCTTTTTCTTTTTCTTTTTCTTTTTCTTTTTCTTTTTCTTTTTCTTTTTCTTTTTTCTTTTTTCTTTTTTCTTTTTCTTTTCCTTTTCCTTTTCCTTTTCCTTTTCCTTTTCCTCTGTATCCTCACAATCTGCCTGGAGTCAGGAGAGCTCCACGGGCTGCATTCCGTGGGTCCCAGTGCAGGGCAGGAGGCTCCTGGACCTGTGGGAGCTTTTGAGTGAATCTGCTGCTTTGTTGAGAGACTCATCCATGTTTATCCCAAAAAAAAACCTTCCCAAATTTCCTCTGGAGCAGCTACAACCCAGCTAATTAAAACAGGGATCAAAACGGGCGTTTGAAATGGAAGTGAAAATGAAATTAAGAGAAAATAAAGCAAATAAAGATTGAAATAGAAATAAAACACAGAGTGGTGGCTGCTGCCACCATTTAACTGCAGATACAACATGAGCACTTCTTCTTAATTAAGGAGTGGAAAAAGCTAATTAGCAAACTGCATCGTGGCATTGTTGTGGAGATGAGGGCTTTGTGACTAAAGTTGCTTTGAGGAAGCAGGCCAGGAAAGAAATCCAGGTTTCCTGCAAGAT